ACTTTGACGCTCCTTTTCTTTCTTCTTGGTTACTTCATAGGCAAGTCTTGTCGTCACATAATCCATTGTAAGTTCTTTTAGCTTGATGGACTCCAATGCTAGAATAAGATAGTTGTAGGATTCTGGAAGGCTCATTAGCAAGGTCATGACAATATCACTTTCTTCTAAAGGTTTGTCAACAATTGCTAGTTGGTTTGCAAGAGCCTTTACCTTATTGACATGAGCCATGAGATCTTCACCTTCTTCCATCTTGCAAGTGAAGAACTTTCTCCTTGTATAGATGATGCTGGATAAGTTTTTGCTCTCATAGATGTTGCAAAGAGTCTTCCATGTTTTCGCTGGTCCTTTACAAAAGATAATATGGGAGAAGTTGGCTTCATCCACATTAGTTGCAATCAATCCAAAAGCCTTCTTTTCACGACGTTTGAATTCCTTCTTCTCCTTCATATCAGCATCTTTGCTTGGAGCCTCTTCACTTTCATCTACAATATCCCAAAGTTCCAAAGACTCCAACAAAAGCTCTATTTTTACCTTCCAATGGTAGAAATTGTCACCTCTAAACTTCTCAATAACTCTCAATCCTTCACCTTCACTTGAAGCCATATCTAAGGAAGAGTTGTATCTAAAAAGATTGTAAGAAGAAGTCCTAATGCTCTCAAAAATCAACAAGAAGGTTTTGTTGTCTTAAAATCACAGAATCCTTCTTTGTGAACAAACTAGTGTTTTAACTCTCAAAAACTCTCTCAACTTCACTTCTAAAACTTGTCACAAGTGTGATAACTTATCTAAGTATCTCAAATCTGATTTTCCACTCTAATATCTTTCTTATGCTCATAAATCACCTCTTTACACCATAAGAGGCCTTTTAAGCACAATCAGCAACTTTAAGATATGAAATCGTAAAGTTAGATTATCAAAGATCTATCTCAGCAAAAGTACAATGCAAACTTTGTCTATAGGTGAAAAACAAGACACTAACACCAAAATGCTCTTAACCACAAGTAAGAGCAAACCATGATCTAGATCTAGATCTGAATCTGAAAGTTAGGTTCTTCTAAAGTCTAATATCAACAACAACAACTTGATCTACTCCACACTTACAAAACCACTTCAAAGAACTTCAAAAAATACTCAAGAAAATATGAGTGGGCCCATAACTTGTTGAAGAAAAGAAGTCTAAAAGCTACAAATATTTAGCATCAGCAAGGATTGTAGTCTAAGAGAAGTGTCGAGAAAGATGATTCTTACTTCCAACACTCTTTATTTATAGGTGGTGGTTTGCTCACCAATGAGGCAACTTCCATCTTTTTGATATTACATCCATTTCTACCTCATCTAACTAAATCCTTGATGCCACCACAATAACTTACTTTAACTCTTTGCTGCTTTTTTACTATTAGCAACATACTATGCTTAATTTCTATGTGGTTGTAACTAAGCAAGTACTTGCTGATCTTCAACACTCTTCCCCCCACGCAAAAAAAAAAAAAGGAAAAAAAATAAATAAATAAGAACAGAAAAAAAAAAGAAGAAAAAAGTACCTAGCGTCAACATATGTTCTCTTTACTCTGTGTACTGCATTTTAAAACTTTTTTTTGTTAAGAAATTTTGTCGATCCACATGTATCTTCTATTAATATCTCTAAGATTGTGATTTTTGTATGCAACATGTTAAGCATTTTTGAAAGGAATCCTTGTGGCTTTTCAATATCTAAACTCAATGTCTTCAATACAAGAGGATTTCCCATCAACACCTTGCAGGGTTAGCACTTTTCTTAATTTATATATTTTTAGATTTGTACATTTGAAATTTCAAGCCCTTCAACAATCCTCCTCAATCGTGGAGGTTGTTTCTTGGCCTTAGCGTTTCAAATTAGATTAATTTATAATTGCTAAAATTATTAGCTATAATGCAATCATTGACAAGATATTTTTCATTACATTAGCCATCATTTGATATTAGATATAAATGCTAGACAAATATTATTATCTACAAAATAAAATTAATATGGATTTTTAAGTTAAAAAAAATTATTTTATTATAAAATCTAGGATTTTGTAATATAAAAACATTAGATTTATTGTTAAAATACAAAGTACCATACATATTCAATTGATAGCTAAAATTAAGAAGTGATAGTTGTAACCAAAACTGTTCTTTAGTAGTTGTAGCAACAAATTTGTACTTTGTTTTAATAATAGAAAGATAAATTAATAGTATTTTATTATTTAGATTAAAAAATAAAACACAAATAAATAATAGATAAATAAAATCTTAATACAAAACAAAAGAGTTTAAAATTATTCTTCAATATTAATAATTTATCAATAATTATAAGAAGAAAAAGAAATATAATATAATAAATCAAACCTACATAGTTAGTACTTTATGATTACTAAAGGACTTGCTTATAAATCTATTACTATATTTGATTATAATTGGTCCAAATTATATTAAATATTAATATATTAAATTAAATCAAGAGCAAGTTACTATATTAAAGGTTATTAATTGTATAGATATAAGTAATAGAATAATAGATTAAAGAATAATAGATTAAAAGCATATTATTAATTTTTTTAAAGATGTAATAAAAAAATAAAAAAATGTAGCACAAATGATTAGATTATATAAAGTCTATAGTTTATTTAGAATTTTTTAGTACACACTCATATTTTTAAAATATGCATGAAAATATAGACATAAAAGATCTTAATGAATAATGAATGCATGATTAATTTTATAATAGATATAGAATAAATTTAGATATTCTAATTAATATTATTGAATTAAATTTAAGTAATTAAAAATAGATTAGAAAATAGAATATTCAACTTAAATATATAAGTAGAATAAAATATTAATGGCTTAAAATCTTTTAAAAGAAAAAAGACTATAAATAATCTAAAAAATAGTTATCGTTTATACAAGAAGTTATCATGAAAATAAAAACAATTAAGATTTTTTAAAAAACATATCAAGAACAAAGTGAATATTGGTGAATTTAATGGTTACTAAAGTTATAGAGTATTAATTAATTTATCTATATTAAAACAATATAATGTTGTATTGTTATTAATAAAGATTTAAGAAATAACACTTGACATTGGCAAGATATTCAAAATAACACATTACTTACTAACAATTTAAATTTAATATAATTTGACTCTGTAAATTAAATAATAAGTAGTAATGTATTTTTAACAAATAAAATAAAATATTTAAAGAATACGAAAATATATAATTAGATAAATTTTATATCAAATGCTAATATTTTATTATCTAACTATTTTTTCTTAAGCTTTATAAATTATGTCATGTATTATTTTATTTTATAAAATTTATAAAATTTAAATAAAATAAAATAATACATAATAAAAATTGAGATATAATGTATAGATATTTTATATATTGAATAGTAAAATAATTAATTTTTTTACTTATCAAGAATCCATAATAATATAAATAGTAATTTTATCTAAATACAATGTGACTTACTATAAATATAAGAATGTAAAACCACTATTGAAGTTATACATTATTATTCTAGAAAATAAGTAAATAGAATAAAATCAATTGTCAAACTATTATTAAAATTTTAATAATATTTTAAGTTTCTTCAAATATTTTATAGGAATTAAAATTTGGTAATTTCTTTAGATATGAATTTAAGAATGTATTTAGAATTATTTGAAAACATTTTAAAAAATCAATTTAGATTTCTTGATCCTAACTAAAATTCTCTACTTGAAAATAAATCAAAATAAATTAAAAACTTAGTGTTAAATGTTTTATATTTGTAAGTATTAAAAAAATAAAGAAACATTTTGTACCTGAAAATTTTATTAAAAAATCCTTTTCAAAAGTATTTGTAATATGTATTATTTTAAAAAATTATGTTTTCAAATTATTTAATAAAATTTTAGGTCTAATTTTAAGTCTAAGTAAATAATAAAGAATATAACAATATTTAATAATATTTTGTAATACTTATGTATCTTCATACATATGAAAAAAATAAAAATAAAAACACTTTACAAACTAAATTATTAATTGTAAAAGAAATTACACTACCATTAATAGTTACATCTATGTAAAATGAAACTTATTAGCAATTATTTGTGACTTGAAAACACTATTACAAATATACTTGTCAATGTATATGAAGCTTTTTTTTAAACAATTATGTTAAATAGTTGACTTTAAATATTGAATGCAATATTTATAAAACTACTACTAATACTTGTTTTAAAAACTAATAACTAAGGATTAAAAATCACAATAGAAAGTTTGATCAAAATGGTTTTAATCTAAGTTTTGCATATGGAAAAAAAACTTAATCACTCATTTTACATGTTTTACATAATTATACCTATTGATAATATCTAAGACCACAAAAAGTTGTCTTGATATTGCCTAAAACAATCTAATCCAATGAGGTATCTTCTTCAATTTACAAGAAATGGGTTTGAGTTGTAACTTATTAAACGAGCCTTTAATTTACATACAATAAAAAACATCAAACATTTATTTACTTGTAGAAAAGAAACAATTCACTTTAAAAATCTATCAACAATCTGTAAAAGAATTGAATTAAAATTGAATTAAAAAAAATCAAATCAAATAGAAATTTTGGATGTAAGTGCTTCCATAGATTGAAACTGTATCCCCAGCCTCAGGGATGCACAATTCAGAAATACATATCCAGTAACACCTTTAACGAAGGCGAAACCTGCACCTATTTTACACTAATCAGCCGAAAGGCACATCTTTAATGTTTCAAACAAAGGCCTAAAAAAACGAAAAGACACATTTTAATGTTTCTCGCTGCACAACATGCCTCCAAATTCGTGCTGTTTTGGGTCAGTATTTTGCGATGAGCATTTATGGTGAAAATCCTGGATCTGGTGCCGTTTCGCGATACATGCAAATACAGACAATGAAGTTCTCATTCATGATGCCAGCTTTATACTTGGGCTTGCACAACATTCGTATCGAAGCTTGTGGTAGGCTGGAAGCCACGAAGGGGTCAGATAATCGTGCCCGGGATCATTGAGTAGGTCTCAGACGGTGTTTGAAGTTGCTCGGAGCCTCGCAGATTGTCGTCTCTCCAATGATCGCTCTGTAAGTTCCTGCGTGCCTGCACGAATGGGAGCATTTGCATCGCTTGCTATGAGAATGGCTGCATTGCTTCCTCAATTCAATTAGTAGTACAAGTTTTAGAATTAATTTCTTCTATTTTGGCAGCCAGTCAGTGTCAATCCTGGACAAGGCTTTGTTGTCCAAGGCAAGTGGCCGTGGGCTAAGAACCGTGGTGTTGCACGATGTAGAAGGTGTTCTTTTGAGTACCCTCGCTGCCATGCATCCACACCGATCTACTCAAAGGCTGTCCGCTCTGCTCTGAACAGAGTCATCACACAATCAGATGGTACCCTCTCTGCTTTAATAAGTAATCGGGTGGGGAAAGCTTACTTGTGAAGGAGATGAAGGAACTGATGTCGATTTTACAATTTTGCAACTTTACATGCATCTTTGAGCTCGTGCATTACTGCGTGGAATAATTTCACACAGCCAGATGAAGCTACTCGGAGGGGGCTTCTTATGTGTACCATCAACATTTGGATACAATCATAGACCAGCAAGTCCACTCTCGTGACCACTGCAGAGGATCAATGACATCTCAGGAATGAAGCACTCAAGTGAGAGTGTCTCATCGTTTCCGTCCTCGAGCTGCACGTCGGCTCTCGTCGCCCGCTGCTTCTCTTTTTCCGGAATGCATCAAATCTCAGATCCTCCATTTGATCTGAGGTTTGTTTTGTTCGCAAGAGCTGCCAATCATAAAACAACGAGAGTTGGCGTGCTTTATGATCAGCCCTGCGTGACCGCTCGAAGTCAAAGCTTGGACATCAACAATCAGGGCTCCATCCTGCTCAACAATCAGGTATAGCTTTGGAGGTGCTTGTTCTCCGAGTGCTCATAATTCGCAAGGTCTTTCACCTTCTTTTCTCAGTACCACCAAAGTGCCCAAAGTAAAAGTGCTGAGCACAGAAACAATTTACAAGGGCCATGCACAATGATTTGCAGCGGCCTACTGTGGCTCCGCTGACAATGTTTTCGAATTTCACTTCAAGAGGTTGAACGGTCCTATCTTGAAACACCCTTGCCTGTGTGGAGTCGATCGCTGGAGCCGTCAATTGTGGTAGAAACGCAAACTGGTGCAGCGTTCAGATCAGGGTTGCTTCTGAGCGATCCGCATACCTGGCGATCCCTGTCACTGATTACGAGTGGTACGATGAGCGAGGGTCCACTGTGGGAATGAGTAGTAGCCAGGTCGTCGCGGCCAACACGCATCCTGCTCGTGGACTGCTTCCATCTCTCCATCCCTCGAGCAAACTCCATAGCTGGAAACCCAACGAGTCTCGGGGACACCCGGCCACAAGAGATTAGGGCTAGGGTTAGGGTTAGCGATTGCAGATCAATGAAGTATCCGGAGAATTACATATTCTTGCTCCAAACACATTGGCCACTAAAAGCATCGGTCCTTGATTGTTAGTTTTCAAATTGGGGCATTTAGAGAAATGGGAATTAGAAGTTGGTGTAAATCCAAAGATTTCAAGCATCCTTAAATATATATGTATATATAGATATATATATATATATATATATATATATTGATGGGTGCAACTCATGGGAGGGTGGAAGAGTCCAAGGTAAGGTAGAGTACCAAAAGTAAAGAGGTTTGAAATTAGAGTAGATGTGGTTTGTGGATGCTACATGTATTGGATTTTGACATCATATTTGGGGATAGCTCAAATCATGTGCTAATTAGTCCTACCATGTTCCTCTGCCTTTTTGACCTAGAATTGCGTAAACTTAAGAACTATGGAAGATTATCAATACAACAGAATTCACTTGTAGGACTTGGTTTGGGATTTGATTTACAAAACCTAAAAAATTTGAACAACATTTTGAAATATTTATCATATTTATCATAGGTTATTTTTTGTGTAAATGATTTCATCTTAATACATTGTGTCTAATTATGTACTAAGAAATTTTACTTTACAACTAATTTAATTTAAAAGTAACTAGGTTTTTTTAATAATATTTCGTTGCTAGAATATTAGTATTTGAAATAAAAACTTAAATAACAACAAGGTGTATAAATAAAAATATAGCCTTGAGTTTATGCTTTAAAATTTGAATTTTAGATTTAATTTTTTAAACTTTTCATAAAGAAAATGTAAGTTTAATTTCAATTTTAATGTAGAATTTTAGGCATTTAGATTCTTTTAACAAAGATGTTTTACATTTAAATACATGTTGATATTGAAGAATTACAACCAAATTTGAAAAGTGTTACAATCTAGATTAAAAGAATATATTTTAAAATAATTGCAATATAAGTATTATTATAAAGTGTAGCATTATCAAAACTTAAAACTTAATGAAATTTCTAAAATTATAAGAATTACTTCAAAAAAATATTATTTTATTGTATTTAGAGTTTTAAATATATATAATATTGCTATTGCCACCACAACCTATCACCCATTTTATATATTTCTTTAGTTTTTTATTTTTATTTTTATTTTATTCCTATCAAAAAAATTATTTAAACAAATGGTTTCAAAAGTATCAAATAAAGAAAATTTAATTAGTTAGAATGGTATTGAACAAAGGTAGCATGTGGTGGATGTAGTGGTAATAGCAAAAATTGTGGTGGCATTAGCAATTCTATATATATATATATATATATATATATATAGGTGTATTTATTTATAAATCTCAATTAAAATAATAATAATAATTTAAATTTTGATGAATTAAAATAATATTATTAAAAAATTATAATATTTTACTTTTAACAATTGTTCATATGTATTTACACAAAATGTATTCTAGTAAAACATTTAATCATATTTGATATCTTTATATTTTCTAATATACTGATTAATTATTCATATTCAATTATATTAACTAAAAAAATAAATTTTTGTTATTAATCAATCTAAATTTTTTACTTAGTAGATAAAACTTATTTGTTGTTAAACACTGTGGCTTCCAATAATATTTCATTTATATTTATATCTGTAGGAAGAGATCACAGTTAACACAAGACTATATATATATATATATGTATCTATCTATCTATACACATACATACATACATACATACAATATAAATTTTCAAATTTTTATTAAATCTAACTTGAAAAAAGAAACTGGTTCTTTAGGCTATTCTCATTTTCATTGACATGAAATTTTGTTAGAATTAAATCAAATACAAAATCAAAACATAAAGTTACAATTTATTGACATTACAATTGACAATCCAGGACAGTGAAAAGGTGTATTATTTTCACTAAGAAAAATGCACCGCATACAACATCAACCTCACCAAATAGTTCAAAAATTCTGAATATAATTACGTAAGTATATAACTTGATGGATTGGAAACAAACCCAAACTGATGGTGGCAATGATTTTTCTCCTTGTTTTAAAACACAAACTACAATATACAATGTAGAATGGGAATTATAGTGGGTCCAACTTGTGGGTTCAAATGATAACATTGTCATTGTTGTCATATTCCCTCAGCACATTGCTTTACACTGAAATAATGAAACAAGAGCCTGCTCCATTGTTCATTCCCACCTTCAAATCATATGGTTGGCACACATGTATGATACTGGCAGATTGACACGAGCTACTTGCATTCCCACCATATTAAGACCTAACAACAACAACAACAAAAATATATAAAATATAACAACATAAATGCTTTGATTCTCACATTATTACCGTCATGAAAACAATTACAGAATACACCAACATTCCAAGGTGCAAATTATATATATATATATATATGCATACATATACATACATGCTCAAAAGAACAATAATGATAATATAAAGTCATAAAGTCATATATCTATCTATATATATATATATATATATACACATATACAACAGAACCTATTCTCTAGATGCTTTACTCCGCTTCTGTTTTTCTAACTTTTCCTTTGTTTACAAATACTTAAAATACAAAGAATACAAGTTTGTTGAAAAGTAACCACAACATATGGCAATGTATGATACCTAATTCACAAGGAATTGGACTTTTAAAACTTGGATTGATTTGTGTAGAAATGCTTTTGAAACATGATGGTGCCGCGTGGTGGTTGATGTCATTGTAATAAAGAAAAGCCCTTATCATTGGAACCCTAATTCTTTTATCAAAAGGATTGGCTTTGATGGTGCCAAAGGATCAAAGTTGCCCTTGCCCTAGTCCATGAGGCCACAATTGTATTTTGTTTTTTTGAAATAGGTGGGTGAGATGCTTCTCAACTCACTCAAACAAACAAAGGAGCTCCACATGTTTTCACAGTGAGCTGGAGGGGTGTTGGTACATTAAAATAAATACAATTAAATAAAATAAAAAGAGTGTTCCACTTGTATATCCACCTTTGGATGTAGCATGATTCAATTACTATGGTGTGAACACCACTCTTTTGTGGTTCATGTGTAGTTACAGAAAACAAAGGATTGTGGCTAAAAAAAATAATAATATATATATATATATATATATATATATGTATTATTCAATAAAAATTCTATCTGAATACTTAACTTCTAAGTTTTATTTTTGAATTGAATTAGAATAATGCTGTGGTATATATATATATATATATATATATGTATATATTTATATGCATGCATGCAGTTAAAATATAAAATATAAAATATAAACACTCTGAAACTTTTAACAAAATATTTAATCTTTCTTACTTTAATTCTCTTTGAAATTGCATTGTTGTTTTTTCATTTTAATTTCATTTGGAACTCAGATATTTAATCCGTTGTTGATGTAAATAATGAAAAATAGTGAAAATATCATTAATTAATCTTTAAAATATCCATTTTACAATCAAATGTGTGTAATCATCGACAGTTGTTTCTACAAGAATTGAATGTTATGAGCAATGATAACACAAAAAATGACTTAAATATAGCATACTTTAAGTTTGCTCAATATTTCTTTGTTTAGATTTTAATTTTTACAAAGAATACTTACTAGAATGTTTAATAGAACTCTATAGAATAATTACACAAACATACACTTATATATGTATTAATTCTTAAACAATTTGTAGAAGAAAATAACACTGCATGTGAATTTTTAATATTATTTCAAAATTCAATTTAAAAACTCTTTCTATGTGTGAAAATGAGTGAATTACTGTTTACTGTTTCAATTTAGTAGGATTTATAAATTGACTGTTACTATTATTAAAAATTCAATTCTCAAATGCATGTGTGTTTCATGCTATGAATGGACAAAATAATTCTAAACATCTTACACTATCATTACACATTACCCATTTCACTATTGATAATGATTGGCATGTGTACAAGATTTCTTTGCTTTTCTAAAGTTCTTCTTAATTTAAAGTTGCATCATGTATAAAATTAAATTACTGTAACACTCTTTGCAACAACTTTGTGAAAGAAACCAATCAAATTTTATAATTTTTTTAAACTGAATTCTTAATTTTTAATTAGATGACATTTTAAGCTGAAAATTTGAAGTGTTATGTAATTACTACAAATGCAATGATGAGAGAATAATGTGAAGTTGTGTCTCTGAAAATAAGTTATTTCGAAATCCAAAATATAATAAACATCCTTCAAAATTGATTGACATATTCCTCCAACACGTACATGAATGTAAATTGTTATAATGTACATAATCACCCACTTCATCATTCAAAATATCATTCATGTTGTGTATGTTTTCTGTGTTAAAAATCCTGATCGAGGGAAGTCACAATCTGAAATCTAGGGAAGCTAGAGTTGTACTTTCCCAAATAGAGCCACTTGATTCAATAAGTATAATACTTTATTATATATATATATATATATATATATATGATTCAATAAGCATAATATTTCAATATATATATATATATATATATGAGAATGGGAACCCAATTGCTATCAATATTAGTGCAATCCATCTATTCCCATGTTTGGCCATTGAGAAGACTTTTTTATGTCTTCATTTTATATCTAAGTTGTTTTATATAATAGATATATATACACAGACATATAGTTGTACCTCGCTAAATAGATACAACTTGCAGCCAATTTTTTTTTATTAAGTGGAAGTTATGAAATTTTGGAGTTCTTTTTTAAACTTGATATAATTATTAGCTAACAAATATGTTAAGAAGTGGATATCAAGTTATGGGAGATCAATTTAGAGAATTACAACAATATATAAGTGTACACATATAATTAAATTATATATATATATATATATATATATATATATATAGTTGATTCTATGTTTGTAACACATGTTTGAATTTGCTGTGCTATTTATAAAAATCCATTTAATAGAAACAGTGTAGCAAATTTTTACCTTGAAAGTGTACAATCTTCACTATATATAAGGTTTTTAAGTAAAAGCAAGAAGCCCAAAATTTATGTGCAAGTAAAATATCTTTTCAGTTTATTCTTTTTAAAAATAAAATGAAATAAATGAATACAGGTAGTAAATAATGATGATAATTAGAATAATAAAATGCACTATTATTCGTAATAATCACAATGTCCATGGCGAAGCAGTAACATAATCAAACCAACAAAACGTAATTAAAAATAAATTTATTTGGCATTAGACCTCTCAAGCTCGAGTGTCATAGAGGGGGATGATATCCATTCGTCCTTTTCCCAAGCACACGTATTCATCCTACATTCATCCCACATTGCATAATTGCATGTGGTCTGACTCGCGGTTTTAGATCTGAGTTACTGTGGCTGCCCGTGGGCAGGTCAGCCGCTTTGGAAAGGGGGAAAAATAAAAATAAATCAGTGACTTCGACACTCCATCTTCAATTATTGGTGGCCCCTGCTGCCCATTTTTGTTTATCCTTTGTGCAGTTGGTAGTTTCATTATGGGGCTACACAATGGGGGGGGGGGGGAGGGATGGGTGGAGAACACAAAATTAATGAATGAATTAATTAATTCATTAATTAAGAGAATTAATGTGAACTACTCTAATCATACTGAATTCCAACGCTATTAATATATTCGTTGAAGGATGCAAGTATGTATAATAATAATAGTAATAATAATTTTATTTAAGATAGCATGAAGCTTAATGAAAATGTTATTTATTTATTTTTAATGTGATTTCTGGTGAAAAGAAGTCTGAATAATAATCTAAATTCTAGTACGTATACATTATAATAACCATTTGATACATGTAAAATAAACAGGTTCTACTTAAACATGGGAATATTTAGAATATTATCAGGTTTCCATCAATATGTTCAAAGTAAACCATATTAGCGTTTTTATCCTGTAGTTTGATACTATTGCAAAATTATAATGTTTTACTAATAATAGATTACACACTCATGTATGTATGTATGTATGTATGTATTGTAAAAAAATAAATAATATCACACAAGTTTTTTGTTGATTTTTCATTCTTTCAGTACAATCATTGATTATGTAAAATATTAAAATAAATAAATAAATAAATATATATATATATATATATATATATATTTAAACAACTAAATAAACAAGAATTATATTTCATACTACAACACACACACACACACACATATATATATATATATATATATATATATATAAAAGCAACAGTGGTAAAAGAATAAAAATAAAAATAAACCAAAATGAATTGCAATTTTTAGGTGTTTGGTAATTTTATGTGATTTTAAAATTTTATATTAGAAACATGTTATACATACATACATATATATATATATATATATATATATATATATATGTATTTATTTATATATATTTACACACACACATGAAAGAGTAATATTTTCTTAATGAATGAGTATACATCATGAAATTGAACAAAACATAAAAGATAATTTTCCTGAAATCAATATTGTGCATAAAATTGAAGTTAATATTTTTTTCAAGTGAACATGAAGTTTCTTTTTCCAAAATAAAAATATATAATCATTCATTGAATTAAAAACCTATATATATATATTTATTTACTTTATTTACTTTATATGATTTTTTCATCAACATTTAATTATGTTTACAAACATAGAATCAATCTTAACAGTGCAGTAATAAAAGAAATAAGTAGCTTTATAAAACATTTGGATTTTATAAAAAAATCTTAAGAATAAAATTTACATTATATTATATTATGTAAAATCCTACAAAAAATAAAAATCATACTTTATATAATTATATATACATGTATGTATATATTTATATATAAGTTCATGAGTACATACATACATGCATACATATTATTATTATTATGTTATATCACGTATGGTTTAAAACTTGTGTATTTTTTATACTTTAATACACTTTGACAAATAAAAAAGAGCTTAAAAAAACTTGCAAATCATATCAAATACTTGATTTTCTCTGTAAATTTGTTTTAAAAAAAAGATCTAATCTTAGATCTATTGAAATTTATCAATTACCTTGAGGGCTAGTTTACACCAGTATTTCATAATGAATCAATATGTAGTTAATAAAAATCAGGTTAAATGTATATATATATATATATATATATACATATAAATTAAAAAAACCTTTAAATTGGAAGTTGAACTTGTGAACTTATTTATGTGATTCTACCTTGATCTCTTGGCAACTTATGAATGTGTAGTGATCATATTTTATAGTACAAGGAAGAGAAGGAGCAGGTAGATGGCATCTAGTAAGGATGTGCCCCCACAATGTGTGTGCACTAGAATTGGGAACTAAAGAATGCTCTAGAATCAAAACCAACACAAGGCAATGCAAGGGAAAACTAACCTGTACTAAGGTATTGATTGCAAATCCAATAGTGGAGAAATTAATCTAGAGGTAATTTTCCATGTGGGTTGCTTTTATAGAAACTTGGGTCTATTTAACATTCCCCTAATTATATCACATAAAAATCAATGATTGTGTTATATGTATTGATTAAGCAATCGAAAGGGTTGCAATTAGTACTTTTTCTAGTTCAAATGTCTTGGGACCGAGCCTCTTATTCCTGACAATAAGTGGAGAACGAGAATTTACAGTAGCTTGGCCTCACAACTCCCAGTTCCGCCTCCTACTGGTAACCACCACCCAAAATTAGGGTTTCTTCGCCACGGAATGCTCAATACCGAAAGTCAGGAGGCGTTGACGAAGATTCAGAAAATTTCGACGCAATTGAAGCGGTAACCGGAAAAACATTATGGCGATGCCATGCCGTGTGAATTATTGCAGCTGTCTGATCATTCATAGAGCGTCGATCACTGCAACGGCGATGAGAAAAACTTCTCGACGTCGATTTAGGATCAGTTGGTTGAACGGGGTCAGTCGATGCATCGTATCGGTGTCCGGCGATCGGGGAGCATATTCTTTAGTGCTGTGATCAGACGGAGATGTGAATCCAACTGCGACGGAAGAATCGCTTTGTCTTTCGTACCACTTTGTCGATTGTTTTACACCTCTTACCTTGAGAAGTCCTGCTCCCGCGCCGGTCCACGGCTTGTGCTGCTGCTGATGATAATTATTGCCTTGTCGGGTACTGTTCAGCTTCGGATTATGCAGCTGAGTCTACTCAAAGCTTCAGATTCAGAGCTTGCGTGATTACAATGTTGGGTAAGTAGTTGAAAAGGCGTTTGGACTCGTATTCTGAGTCCTGAATAGGCAGTAACACGAAGGAATTAAAGCTGTCGATCCCGTGTTGTTAAATAAAAGAGGTCAGCGAAACTGGTTGGATAAGTGAAATAGCCTCAAACGCCGGGCGCGTAATTCGAGGCATGCTACCATGGATCGATATTGCTACGATTTCCAGCCCCGGTCTCAATCAATTGGAAGCTTTCTCTTTTGATGGGCAGGCCATTGAGTGTCTTCGTCGATCATTGTTCTTGAGTCGTGTATATGGTCCAAACACTCTTTTCGTTCTCGGAGGCGAGCGAGACAAAGCCCTGTTCGTGACAATTGAATCCTGTGTCCTTACTCTCTCATCATGTGGTGCTGTCGATCATCAATGCTGACAGGATTCTTCAGTAGAGCATTTGTAACCAGGTTGGTTACTTCTGTCTTGGTCTGTCAGTGTTCGTCTGGCAAGTGTCCGGTTGCACGAAGTTCGCTTTGTATTGTTCCGACGTTTTGGTCTGCTCGTGTGGGAGAGGGGATTTGGGGATGGGGGCGGAGAGGTTATGCTTCTTCAATTGCCTGCCGTGGAGTTCGAGATCACAGTTCACTATCTTAAGCGGGTGTCGGTATTGTACCAAATGTTTGCTTGGTGGGTTTGTAAGCAACGCAAGTTGTCTGAGAATTCCTTGTGCTCAAGTGTTCCTACCTCTAAAATGATGACCCTCTGACATCCTTGCTGGAGTTTTGCAGTAGTTCGTTGGTCAGGAATGCACGATGACTTCAACATGTGTTTGCATGTTCTGGAGTCTTCCGTGAAAGTTTAGTGTTTGATTACATTGGGTGTGTCGTTGTGTCGGATTGGGCGCGCTTACCCAAGCCGAACTGTGGAAGTCTTCACACCTCGTCTGTGTTTAGCTGAGTGTGTAATTGGAGGTAGGAGTCATTTTATGCGCTGAGGAGAATGTTTGAAGCATTATCGCATGTTTCTTCTTGTCGTCTTCTTAGATGCGGGATTCCCTGAGTGCTCTTTTGATGCGTGTATGATCGATTGAGTGGAAGAATCTAGCTGACTCTTTCGAACAGTCTTCAACAATTGGGACCTAGATTCCTTTAATCGTACCTTCCAGACAAGAGTTTTACATTAAATCAACAGTCAGCAGAAGGATCTGTAGGTAGCTCGGCCTGTGGAGGCCGCCTCGAAGGAAGGTTTGTCACGCTGCCGGAGTTTCAGTCTTTCTTCGGATCTGTGCGCATGAAGAGTAGAACACAGGTCTATTTCACCGCAGCTGGTCAACAAGTTAGTGTTGGACGACTCAAAACTCGAATTCAAGAGTTCACATGTAAATCCTCCCAAGCTCCTAAAGAAGAATTCAGTTTCTAGCGCATTTTTGCGACATTGTAACATTGACAATGTCATAGACGAGTTAGCTATCTTTCAGGCTCTGCTTCGACGTCTCTTCGAATCAGAAAATTCTCATCTTCCTTAGGAACTGTTGGCTGTGAGAGCATCACTAGTGAGTGCAACAAATTGACAACTAAACATGCACCATCCATATTATCAAGTCTAGTATAACAGGTCTCTGTGTTTTCCTCTTTCCAAACTTGAATGTAGAAGTTTATGTTTTCTCTTCGTCTGAGAGGCATTCAGGAAAGAAAGCTTAGCCCTAGACGTTGTGTTGACGACAGCGTCAAAGGAAAATCTGAGTTCTTCCGACCTGAATCGGTTTCAAATAACTTTTGGATTTGGCTAAAGTTCAATTTTGAAGATGCTCCTCCTCAACCACCTGTTGAATGGCAGTTGAGGCCTTGATTTCGAGTTCGATGTGTCCAGATTTGACAAGACTGTCAGATTCTGCCTTCGACCTTCACGCATTGGCCTCGACATGAAATGTCTCTCGACCTTGAGAATCAAACTGAAATCAGATTTATTAGGGGTTTTCGAAGTTGATGAATCGCTTTGCTCAAGAAATTTCTTTGAGAAGGGTCCACACATGAAATACCATCTCTGACGATAGTGTTACTTTTAGAATCTAAGTTAAATAATGTACAGCCAAGTGATGAATCCTATGTTCATTGTGGTTTTTGCTGGATTAACTAAGACTATCACCGACATCGCATCCTTGCTATGGCTAGTTACAACGAGTTCATGTCTATAAAATTGCACAAGTAGTTGGTTCGAAACTTGAGCATTATCGTTGTGTTAAATTTGCGAAAATTCAGCTTGTTCCCTTGATGACATGCATTTCGAGATGGACGGAAAATGTGCATTGCGATGCACATGACCTTGTTGTTTGGCTCTACCTGACAATGGTACCGTTGTCTCTTCTTTTAAAAGTTATATATTTTTTTATTTATTTTTCTTGCAGGATTTTGTATCAATCTACTAAATTGGAGTACAGGGTGGTAGAATTGAGTCAAAGAAGCGCTGCAAGAGTTGAAGAAAAGTATTTGCACAGCGCACTTTGAACCTGTCTGGTGGGTCACAGCTCTGAGGAAGAGCTGTGGTTTTTTCCACTGTGGTTTACGGGGATGCGATTGCGGGTGCAATTGCAAGAGCAGAGGTGAGACAGAATTTTCGCTCTCTCCAATTTACAGCTTCTTTATTTGTGCCCATTGAAATTCGTTTAGGAGGTGTGGTTGTTTAATGAACGAAAACCTGCAGCAGCCAATCTAGATGGCACCGATTAGGCTACGGTGAGGTTATTGGCACAAGGTTGTTCAGGAGATTATTTTGGAATGCGGATAAACGACCAGGATTACGACAGAATCATGAGATCAGCATGAAAACAGATTCCTTGGGTAAAAATTCATGCAGAAATTTGCATAATAGTGAAGTGTCGTGAGAGCAAGTGCTAACGCAAGAGAGTGAAACGGCAGGAGGGGAAAGAGCATTCTACGTAGCAAAATGAAGGAAGATAACAAGAAAGGATTGTCTTCAATGGGTGACGATGCATGGTTGCTATTTCGAGGCCGGAGCTTTCAAAGCCGTGTGGTGCGTGCGATGTGCTTGATTGCGGTGGTCTGCACATTCGGCATAGTTCTCTTGAGCTTATCCACGTTGGATCTAAGCACGCTCACTATTGGTAGTCCAAGACCCGTATATGGCCCTCAGAGAATGACTTCTGAAGAGCTACGTGAGCATCTTGCATCGATTGACAAGGGATTGCAGGAATTTTTGAGTGCGAACAAGCCATTTACGAAGTTCGGTCCTCCAGTTGTTGGTTGGGATGAAACTCGCAAAGAGGCAATACGGAGGAGCACAAACTCATCAAGCGGAGTGAACCCTAAACCGCGTATCATGCTTATCACGAGCTCGCACCCAAGGAAGTGCGAGAACAAGCAAGGCGACCAGATGCTGCTGAAGTCCATCAAGAACAAGATGGACTATTGCCGCATACACGGTATTGAAATCTACTACAACATGGACCATATTGACGAAGATATGACTTCATGGTGGGTGAAGACGTTTCTGACGCATATGCTTATGAAGGAACACCCCGAAATCGATTGGTTCTGGTGGATGGACAGTGATGCAATCTTCACTGATATGTCCTTTCAGCTCCCGTTGCACAAGTATGAAAAATACAACATGGTGATGCATGGCTGGGATGAAGTTGTGTACGAGAAGAGGAGCTGGCTAGGCCTCAATGCTGGTGTATTCTTATTACGGAATTGTCAATGGTCGATGGACATGCTTCATGCTTGGGCACCGATGAGCCCGAGAGGCAAGATTAGGGATGGAGCTGGCAAGTTTCTGACGAAGGCACTTCCCGACAGAGGCGATAGTGAGGCGGATGACCAATCTGGGTTGGTCTATCTCATGGTCACAGACAGGGAGCGATGGGGGTCCAAAGTTTTCCTTGAAAGCTCCTACTATTTCCAGGGTTACTGGAAGGTTTTGACCGAGAAATTCGAGGACATGATGGAGAAGTACCAGCCAGGCAAATACGGAGATGATCGATGGCCTTTTGTGACACATTTTTGCGGATGTGAATTCTGCTGCGGAGCTATCAATCCCGAGTACACTGTTGATCGGTGCTTGACACAAATGGAGCGCGCTGTGAACTTCGCCGATAATCAAGTCATTGGAAGATACGGCTTCATTCACAAAATGCTGAAATCTGCCGAGGTTGAGCCAAAGGATGCAGCAAAGAATCGGACTGAAAAAGCTTCGGTGGTTGCGAAGTCGAAGAAGGCAGTGTAGACTCAGGTTAATCCTAATTCCTCCACCTTATTTCTGGTCCTCAAGCCAAAAAAGCAGCAATCCTCTTTATGTTCCAACGCTTATCCTGGGCGACAAGTCTTACATTCGTGTTGCGTTGATACTTTTTGTAGAGAGGTGGTTGTTGCGGGCGAGTTCTGGGATTAAATGATGGCGAATGCATAGCAAGCAGATTTCTTCTCGTTAATTACTGTTGCCTGGCCTAGCCAAATGCAAATCATCCGAAAATAATCGATACTCTCGAACTCAACATGTACCGTCGGTATCGAAGACACCTTTAGTTGCTTTAAATCTTGCATGACAATGGAGGCGTTATACATAATGAGCAGTAGGCACTTCATTGCAGCTGCGCCACCTGAGGTGGCACTAGAAAGTTTGGCCGCTGGAACAAACTACCGGTGTGAGTCAAACAGCGAAACCATTCTGCACAAATTAAACCTATAAGGTGCTGCATGGACAGGTAGAGACGTAGAGACTCAATCGACGGGCAAGTAGGAAGACCTCCGACAAGATCAACCTAGTTATGTAAACTGCTGGTGTCAATATCTGCACAAGGTTCTAATTCAGATCCTTGATTGTAAAATTTTAAGAGCTATTGGTAGATACAACTGTGTAAACCGCACCCTTCGGTGGTTCGATTTGTCTCCATGCACTTCCGTCTATCAACGCTATCTCTATGTCAATGATGTGCGTAGTTATGTTCCATGAGAATTTTGTTAATTCCGTCACCAGAGAAACACCTGCCTGTGACTCTTCAGCTATTTGGATCACGCAAGCAGCAGCAAGTTGAGTGAGATTCTCCATTGTTCGTTGCTCACGTACAGTTGGAGCAAAATGCGACTTCAGTCAACCAACTGTAGTTCTTGGTCAAGCCACCGCATCGTCTCCTCTTTTTCCGTGATCATGTTCTGTCTGTGTATAACTACATGTTTCTTATCAAGCTTTAGTGATTAAATTATCGGATCAATAACGTTTTGCACTTTGCTCGAAGCTACGTACGTTTGTACATTTGTCAAGTTCTTTAGAAAGTTGACTGATCCAGGTCAAAGCATTACGCATGGCATCGACACAGAGAATGGCAGTTGTACCGGATATTGATGCGAGGAGAAATAAATGGCGCCCCTCAGAAAAAGCTCAACTCCCAATCGTCGTCCCCACACCTGCCCACCGCTGCTTCACCCTCCGGAAGATCTTTCCGTGGCCTTTCTTCACTCTTACCCCTATAAAAGCAGAATTATCAACCAGTGTCTCGATTGGAAGCCGTGCACGGAAATCCTTGAAACTCTTAATTTTATTCACTATCTGCTTCGGATTTTTATTTGAAGACGTATACTGCTCTGCACAGAAGAAAATGCTTTCTAAATTCGCATTTAGTAACGCAGTCGACGTGAACGACGTACTTGCTACTATTTGATTGCAGTAATTTCATTTTGAAAATTTGAAAATGTTCATCTTGACATCATCTTCAATCACACTTAGCATTAATGGTGATGAAATTTCCTCCAATTGTACAAGCTTAAAATGCTTATTCAACTAGAATTTGAGACGGGAGAGGATTGATATAGTGATGGGGTCGATGCTTCCTGAAGAGTTCTTGATTCTCTGGCTTCCTAATCGGCGTGCAGTTCAATGATAGATGCTGTTGTAATCGTGTGATTACCAGCACTATTAAAATTGTATGGATGCCCTAAACTTTTTGTCCACCGATTCGAAAGCTGTCTAGATGTGATGTTTGAGCTTTTAAATGTTTGTACTGTTAGCTGCAGCGATGTTACATTGGTAGCAGTTGGAGTTATTTGCTTCTCCTCTTTCTTGAACGTGCTCTTCGTCCGACTTGTCTCATTCATCATCTTCCAAGCTCAAAAACTGCGCACACCGAAAATTTAGGTCTGAGGTTTGAACGTAGTACCTACAATTCTTTTAGAAGTTTTTATTAGATCAGGAGGTGGTGTATAATCGGAAACTTACCTCGAAATTGAAAGAAGCCTCCTTAATGGATAAGTGTCCTACTCGGGACGTCCGCTGGACCTAGATTTTTTTCACAGGTGCGGTTTTTTGATAGTGCATGTTTGCAACTTTTCCTTCTTTTTTTCCTTCAGTTTTTGTTTCGATAAGAAGGGAAAGTCGAATACACTTAGAGGGAAAACTAAACAAATAAATGAAGAAATAAATAAATAAGTAAATGAGCAGAATATATCTCGCTGAACACAATCATTTAATTTGATGGTTTGATCGAGTTTATTTAATTTCTCCGAGGTAATTGGTTCCGTCTGCTGATCAGGTCTTTAGATATTTTTAGTGTAAATTGCTCGACAGAGAGCAGACATGAGAGGTAGAAAGCATGTGCAGCCTTACGTCAGTCGTCAGAACTGGTAAAGGGATCAAACTTGAAATCACCCTTACGAATGTGACATTTCCTGCTTGCCTGTGACCGTTTCATGCGTCAAAGTATTTCCACATGCAAATCGGCTGCAGATGGAATATTGTTGGCTTCCATGTCCATTTACACATGAAATTACTCTGTATTTGATTAAAAAAAACGCATCTTCATTTCTCCTCGATCTGAGCATTCATGATATTTATGTATTTATTTTAAATATTTGTACATGAACAAGTCCAACTGCAAGCCATCGTCACGCCCAAGGATTTTTGCGTCTTCACATTACATCACTTACTTTGTTACCTCTGAACAAGGTACAGTACTTAATCTAGCCCGTAGCGTCTCACACATTGCTCGCCTGTTTCTGCAGAATCTCTGACCATGTTACCACCTCTAATAGGATGATGCTGTCGACTCCTTGCACTGTCTTCTGCACAGCAACTTATTCTTGTCACAGCAAGTTTTCAACAATGGAGAGATTCTGCACTTACTCGCCTCTAGACTCGTAGAGATTCTCCGAGATATTAAAAGAAACCGGAAAGGTATTCCACTACTCTCAGAGAGTACAGTCCTCTTTTTTATGCACTTTTGAAGGTACTGAGAAGAATCATCGTTTTCGTGCGATCGTCGTATTCAAGAACGTCGTGGGGAGTGCCAGCGCTACCGTTTCCAGGCTCTGAAGGCTAGGAAACACTCCGCTCAGTCCCAAAACAAGTTGTTGATATTATTATTACTATTATTATTATTTAAGAAATACTTAAACCAAAACTTAGTGATAAAAACTAATGTTTTGAATCGAATGTGTAGATCATGGTTTAATAAAATTTAGATGTTAAATTTTCTACTAATTTTTAAGTTAACATAAATTGTAATAAAAATGACTTGGAATGTGCTTTCTGGTACTACAAGTAAGTTAACTTAGAATTTTAAAAAATAGCTATATATGTTTGAAAATATACACATACATTTAAGTAATTTTTAATTTCTAAAGCAAAGAAAAGAATCTTTCAAAAATGAAGATTTTAATTGAAAAAAATTAATTTTTTGCTTAGAATTGTAAAAATACAAGATTGGGTGCCAATAAAATAGACGATATATGATTTTATTTTTAATCATTTTAATTATTATAATAAAAATTTAAAAAATAATTCTAAATATATAAAATATTATATTAAAAAAACATATAATTAATAAAAGATAAAATATAATTTTTAAATTATGTATTTATATTAAAAAGAACCATTTAATATATTTTAAATTATAAAAAATTATCTACTTACACATTATTTGTTTATTAAATAATTTAATCTAAAACAAGTAATATTATATATATTATTATATATATATATAGGTGTACTATAGAATTATTACACCTTTATCACAAGAAATTCTAAGGATACATTTGTTATTATCAAGAATGTAAGAATGCTCTTGATATTTTAAAATATATATATATAATAAAGGTGCAATAATTCTATTACTCTTTTTATCTTTATATAGATACATTTCAATAAAAGAAGAAGTCCCTCTGTTAGGGACATAATCCTTAGAACCTTCTAGAGACAAGTTTCTAGAACCTTCTAGTAGCAAGTCTTTGGAACCTTCTAGAAGCTTCTTAGTTGGTAGAAGTTGCTTGAGAAGCTTCCTAAATAGAAGTATATATTGGAATCGAGGCTGAAGAGTTCTTCAGTCTCGACAACACATCTCTTGGAGCTCTAGCTCACCTCTCTGGTGTTGTTCTCATCTGATTAATCTAGTTCTTGCCAGTTCTTCTTGAACTTCTTGTTAGATCTCGAGTCTATATTTCTATGTCCATGACAGTTTGTCGAGACTTCACTCACCTCACATATCAGAGCTAGTTTCTTCTTTGTTAGAGTGTGGATTACCCCTTTGCTTAGAAGTGTACTAGCATTTTAGAGGTTGTGGATTACCCTCCTCTAAACTGATACTTCTTTTGTTACAATATTGGAGTCTTATTCTTCTTGGAGAGAGTGGATTACCATTTTTCTTGAAGCTCTTAAGGCATTTTAGAGGTTGCGGAGTACCCTCCTCTAAACCAATATTGTCTTCTTGTACAGTTATTTCTGTCCTTCTCTTAGAATGGCCGGAGGCCAAGACATTAGTATGACGAAAAGTTCAGAGTCCAAGTTGGATGCTATCATGAATGCCCTCACTACATTATCGCAAAGAACTGCGGAGATTGAAGGAGTCGTGGCAAGGCTTCATAATGATGGAGCATTTGGAATGGCATAATCTAAGTTGCACCAGCCTCAAACTTTTGCACTTGGAGAAGCAATTTTGCCTCAGGTTTGACAAGCACCGCTGGTTCTACAACATAAGGAGCCCCGAGTTAGCCTTCCAGACAAGTTCGATGGTACACGTTCCAAGTTTCGAGGATTCGTCAACCAAATCAGGTTGATAACAGTTTTACAGCCTGAACGCTATCCAACGGAGGAGTCACATGTTGGGCTTGTTGGAACCTTACTTACAGGACAAGCTCTATCATGGTTTGCTCCTTTGTTTGAGAAACGACAGTCCATACTAAACAACTTTGAAACCTTTTTGGAGGCATTTGTGGAAGCATTTGGTGAATACGACAAGGTTCGATCGGCTACAACAAAGGTCCGATCACTACAACAAGGGATGCGTTCTACATTAGTCTATGCATCAGACTTCAGGCAATTAGCATGTGACATCAATTGAGACGAAGAAGTGTTGATGAGTCAATTCTATTGGGATTTAAAGGACGATGTGAAGGATTTGCTGTTAACTCTTCCTTATCCACAAATGCTCAATGAAGTTATTAGCCAAGCTATGAAGTGCGATAACCACATATTTCAATGCCGCCAAGACCAACGTTCAAGACAACATACGGTTCGCCACGTTCCAACTATATCGGCAAGCAGCGTGAATTCACATTCAGAGGTAGAAGACATGCAAATTGATGCGGTACGTGTCAAATCTCTTACTCTAGAAGAAAAAAAGCGGCGTATGGAAGAAGGTCTATGCTTATATTACGGTGAAGAAGGCCACAAAATTGAAAACTGCTCCAAGAAGTAAAATTGATGTATTGTCACGACTAGGAGCACATTTATTCAAGAAAACGAGGATGCCCAGCCACAATAGGAACCGTGTAGCTGGACAATGAGACATCGCAACAACAACCAGGTTCCTTTCTTTCCGCTCAACCTGCCCTTTTTTTTACAATCCCTTTGCTTATTGGCCCTCAGAAACTGAGAACCTTAGCATTATTACATTCAGGAGCATCTCCT